TACTGCCAACCCTAAGGCCTAATTGACAAAGAAACAGACTCAACTCTTGCTGGGGAGTTAAGCGTTCCGACCACTGCGAAACTGCAGACCCATCATATGGGGAGAGCTGCTCTTCGCGTATTACTACAGTGTTTAGTGTCATTAGGGTTTTAGGTTTTGCAGCCCGGTCTGAAGTCTCCGTCGTTGTCTGCGTATGCTTCTAGTTAAATGCCCTAGCTGACTGCCTCTTTGTCTCTGGACTGGCTAGCTGGGCCTAGCTAGCTACTATCTAGCTAGTGTAGTGTTTTAGTTAGACGGTCACAACATGGTGGCTGCCTGCCACAGTAGGCAAACCGCCAAGCGAAAGGGCGAGGCTACTTGCCTCGGTAGCCAGCTGGACATACAGCTAGCTAGCTAGTTAGCTAGCCAACCTGTTACCAAGCCAGTTACCTATGTACCTAACTGGTCATGGAGCCAGCTAGAGCCCATCCACCTGGCAAGTCAGCCTGTGTGCTTGCTAGCTAGCTGGCTGTCTAGCTAGGTACATAGCTAGCTAGCGCTAGATGGCTGGCTAGGTAGCCAGCTAGCTATGTATCTACCTAGATAGCTAGCTATTCAACCTTTAGAATGTTGTTTTCATTGCCCCCAGCATCTCGCGCTGTTGGCGAGCCGTAGCAGCAAACCCACTCGCCATCAACCACGAGCTTATAGGTGTACCTGCAAGCCCACTCAAACCCTAAACCGTAGACCCTAATCCCTATATCCTAAACCACAAGCTTCAGGAATTCTACCCAGGAAAAAGAGTCGACAGATCGCCAATGTTTAGCCGCAGCGGCAACAACACACGAAAACCTAGAAACCAAAACCTTAAACCCCAAACCCTAAACGCCAAACCCAGGATCCAAAACCACATGACGTACTCTCCAGGAGGCAGCGCAAGGGAGATAGAAAAGGCCTGGACAGCATTATCCCAAGCCAGAGGCCGCCGTACACGCCAGTCGTCGAAACTCCCTGCGGACAAACCCTATACCGTAAACCCTAAGCCCTAAGCGTAAAGCCTAATACATATGCTAACTTGGATGGTGTGAACGGAGTGTTGCTTTATTATTCCAACAGAAGTGCCGCGCTCTCTACTCGGTGCTCATTGTTGTAGGAGGAGCCTTTAGGGTTTACCAGCAACGGCGACGGATCGTGGTCTGGGTTTGCCCTGAGGAGGTATGTAGCGAATAACACTTGGCAGAAGCTTTTTAGATCTGCTAGGGTGGCTAGTTGCCTTATCCGTGGTGGTTCTGCTGCTGCTGCTGCTGCTGCTGCGGGTAGTAGAGGGCTCTTCCCCACTGCTGCTGCTGCTGCTGTCGCTGCTGCTGCTGCTGCTGCTACTGCTGGTGTATATTCGCAGCCTTGTCTTTGTGCGGCTTTTGCTCGCTACGGAGGTCGGCACTGCCCAAAATGCTGCTGCTGCTTCGGCCTGCTGCTGCAGCAGCACGCCCTGCTGCTCCTGCTGCTGCTGCTGCTGCTGCTGCTCCTGCCCCCAGCTGCTGCCAGCAGGATTAGGGACACCAGTCGCTGCTGCAGCAAGTTGTTCCTTCCTCTTCCTCCAGGCCCCCTCAGACCACTTTGGGAGAGACTCATAGATTTGCTGCACCTGCACAGTCATCGGGTCTCCACAAAACACCTAGCTAACTAGCTAGCTTGCAAACTAGCTTCCTAGCTACCTAATTAGCTCAGTCACCTACTGTGACTAGCTAGCCAGCAAGCTAGGTATTTGGCTATCCAGTAAGCTAGCTGTGTTCTTTCTGGCTAACCAGATAACTAGGTATGTGGCTAGCTAGCCATCGGTGTTTACCTTGTTTTCGTTAATGGGTATTTTATTTCTAAGACGGGCGAATTCACATAGCCAAGCCCAACTGCTGCACTCGCAGCTAACCACAGATCGGCGAGCCAGCCCCCGCAGCATCGTGTACTTCTCCTTGTCGCTGCACAAACCACAAAGCGCAACGCCCCAAACTCAGGCAGGCAGCCACGACACCGAAGCGCTTTGGCCACCGGTGCGACGAATGGGGAGCTTCAAACCCTTCTGGAACGACTGTGCGGGAATGTGGGTATGAGGGAAAGTGGGTTAGCATTTAGGGCTTAGGGTTTGCGGACTCAAATACTCTAATGGCTCTCTCCATGGCGTAAAGCAAATCCCCTGAAGTGTAATTCATAAAAGAAAACCCATTGCCCGTGCCGGCAGACGGGACAAACTCAACCACCGTGTCCTTCAACCCGCCAGTGTGGAAGGCTGCACACAAACATTAAACCCTAAAACCTAAGAGCAGGATGTGCAAACAATGACTTTCAACGCAGTATCAGGGTTTGATGGAGACCGTGTGCGATTCGCTCCTAAAAGGACTTGCAGAACCATCCTGATGGTTTTGGGGTTGCAGCATAGGCTAGAAGGTGTACCGATGACAGGAGTGCCAGAAATAAAGAACTCGTGCTGAACTATTCCTCCAGGCTCGAATGCAGAAGGCATTAAACCAAAATCCGCCCCATAGTTCACGTGCGCCCCTGAACCGCAAAGCCCTACACCCTAAACCCTAAATCCTTAATGCCCAAGCCCTAAATCCTAAAAATAAAGAGAAATAACTGCATTTACGCGAGGCCAACCCGAGAAAAAATAGATATTTGCAGGCGGAGTTGCGAGTTCCTGTTTGAGGTTTTGGGATTTAGGGTTTTTTGGTTTATGTTTTAGGCTCACCCTTTGTGAAGAACTCGTTAGGGTCTGCCCAAAAGCTCTGCGGGTATTTCCACCGCAGCTCCATCATCTTTGTAGCGCATCTGCAGGCGACAAGCCGTAAACCCTAAGCCCCAAACACTAACCCCTCTTTTTTAGTTTCCAAACCCCTCTTCCTAAGACAACCCTTCCAGTCCAATTCCATTAATCTTAAGTCCCAACCCATCATCCCACAAAGCCGTAAACCCTAAGCCCTAACCTGGCGGCGTATCCATCCTTCCAATTGGCCATGCCTCCTAGCAGCAGCTGCACGCGTCCCCTGTGTTTTGTGATTAGGGTTTCTGCTGCCTCCAGAATAAGATGCACGCCTATATATACAGCAGCCACGGCAGCAAGGACGAGAAGGTGCAGCGGCAGCAGTAGCCGCAGCAGCAACAGATACGAAAATAGGCAGCGGAGGGAGCAGCATCGGCTGTCCAAGCAGCAGTTGCGGCAGCCGGTTTTCCGTGTTCAATGGAGCGTCCATCGGACACCGCAACTATAGCAACAGCAACAGCAACAACTGCAGCAGCAGCAGTAATACCTTTCTGTTCTGTGATTCTGCCTATAAAGGCAAAGATAGGAATTGCATCATCTGGCTTCTGCATGCCAAAGTATTCTTGCTGCAGTGCGGCTTTCGCCTCGTAATGGTCTTTAAACCCTAGTGCAGCGATGGCGTCTAACCGCCGCTGCACCCAAACACCAAAACCTAAACCCTATGCCCTAATCCCTTTTCTTGGTGCGTTGCTGCTGTGTGCGCGGAACGGGGCGGGAAGGCTTCGGATGTGTGTACGTGCGGGCAGCAGCTAGTTCTTGCATGTATTCGAGTTCAGGGTTTTAGGGTTTGGACCTGGATAGGAATGCCGTTAGGGACAGCAAAAGGACTCGAGTGTCTCCTCAGCAGAGGAGCTAAAGGAGAATTCTGACCACCGCCGTCTCCTTCTTGCAGCAACTCAGCGCGGTAAGAAGGAGACACTGTCCCCCATGAGTCACACTGCAGCAACACGCATCTGCAGCAAAACCCCACACAAACCGCAAACCATAAACCCTAAAGCCGCAAGCAAGGGCAAAGTTGGTGCCAGCTCGCCGCTAGCCGTGCACAACTTGAGGAGATGAAAACAGCACACAACGAATACACACACTTGCTAACCCTAGAAACCCTAAGCCCTAAACCCTAAAATGGACCTTGAAGGATTGACGACGTGGTTGTGCCATAGAGGGTCAACCAGCAGCTCCGTAGGGAGTTGATGCAGCCAATAAGCATCTTCCCGCTTGTTCATGTAAATGCGACCTGTACGAAAACCATAAGCCCTAAACCGTAGACACTCAGTCACTGCAGCCGCTCCTATGTCGATGCTCTTTAGGCTGCACAACCCCAGCACTCATTGCAGCCCTGCATCTACCAGTTAGCCAGCTGCATACCTTCGTAGTTAGGGTCTAGATTATGGATGATGTGGAAGAAAGTGCAGTTGTCAAAGATTGAACCAAAAAATCCATTTTTTGCATAGGCTGGAATTAAAGAAGTAGGCCAGTCATTTGTTACTATCAGCTGCAAGCAAAAACCCTAAACCCCAAACCCTAAATGCTTAGACCCGTAAGCTTGAACCTCTATGCGTGTGCGCACACATGGTCCCTCAATACAACGACCCACTGCAAGCGCAAGCCCAATTTGCAAATAGCGCCAAACCCTAACCCCTAGAGCCTAAACCCTCGCTTCTGACTTGTGGGATGATGCGTTCGTGACACAAAAGCTCCAAGGCGCCCTTTGCAAAGGTTACGAGCATTCTGCGAAACCCATACACTCAAAACCCTAAACATTAAACCCTAAACCATATTCAAGCACAGTCTTTGGCTTGGAACCAGCACGAGCGACGCAGAGACGCGATGTGTTGCAAAGGGTATAGCCTTTCGAAGGCCTAACCTAAGTTTTGTCTTTTGGGACTGCACATAAGTACCCTAGAGGCCTCGTAATGGCTAGGTGTCGACCCTGGACTGGAGTTTAGGGTTTAGGGTCTGGGGCCCACCTTATAGCATCAATACCATAGAACTCCGGGTAAGGTTGAGGGAAGATCGATGCGTGGTGAATAAAATACAACTGAACGTTCTTCACCACACAACCACGGTGGATTCCTGCGCCAAGTCACAAACCCCAAAGTGTTACTAAACACCAAAACATAAACAAACATGCGCCAAACCTGTCAGGGAGTTTGAACCTTAAACCCATAGAGATTGGCTAAGGTGCCCGTCTCCAAGCAAAACGGCCCCCTGACAGGTTTGGCGCATGCTTGTTCATGCTTTAGTGTTTAGTAGTAGTAGACAGTTTGGGGTAAGGTTCAACCCCCCCAAGAGTTTAGGGTTTAACGCCTCGTATGTACCAAGTTTAATAAAATCGCCTCCGACGTGCACCTCAACATTGAACGCATGGGATATCCCGTCTCTCTCTAAATATCCTCTCTCTCCCCGTCTGACTCACAGACCCAAAACCCGAAGCCATAAGCCCTAAACACTAAACCCTAAACCGTACACCCCGGCGTTGTAGGGATGTGAAATGGGTTTTCTGCTTGCCTGTTTCTGTCATAGTATGGAGAAATAACAATGACCTCTTGGCCAAATTCCTGCACATGCACAGGACCTAAACCCTGAACCCTGAGCTCGCATCCTCTAACGTGAAAATGCAGCGGCAATCGATCGTAAGCCCTAGCGTTGCCTTTAACCAAGTGTGAGTCCGGGGGTAATGGATTGAGGCTTCACGATCATGGTTTAGGGTTTAGGGTTTACAGTGGCTAGCGTTGTTGACAGCTCATCGACCATCACCCCGAGGCCTCCAACTGTCGACCATTTGCCCAACTCGGGAGCAACGAAGACTAGAGGAGTAAGGCGGTTGCTCCGCAGCACCTGAAACCCCACCCAAATCCTTTACCCAAAACCCTAAACCCTAGGCCGAGAGGTGTAGATGCGCGCGTGCACACCGGCACCCATCTAGCCTTGCGCAAATGCAGCGGGCGTCTAACGGCACCTCGAAGATCCAGAAACCCAGAAACCCTAAACCCTAAACGCTCACCTCATGTGCAAGCATAAGGCCGCGATTGGCCGTGGCGTTACCTACAGGAATGCTCTCCCCTTCAACCAATCGTCTAAGGCGGGCAAAGAACGAACAAGCTAGCGTCAAACACACACACCAGAAAAAAACCCTAAACCCTCAGCACAACGCTTCTGGCATCCAGGCGAGAAAGATACCTCAGCTGCAGTACGTGAGGATACAACTGGAGGTTTAGGGATGTATTTATTTACTTCGATTTGGCGCGAGGGTTTGAGGGTAGGGTTTAGGGTCTGCAGGAAAGGGTTTAGGGTTTAGGGTTTAGGGTTTGACCTAGCATCCCATCTTTTGCAAAGAGTTTTGATTCGACGCAAATATCAAAGAGGGAAAGTTTATTCTTTGCGAGAAGAGGACCGGCATCGGGTCTTCCTCGTTGCTGCTGCTGTTGCTGCTGCCATTCGAGGGAGTTTCCTCGAGGTCCCCATAGCCAGCTGTCTCCTTCCGCTGAGCGCGCCTCCGTGACGAGTTCAGCATTGTCTAGGGAAGAGAAAAAGCAGCCTGTTGCTGCTGTTGCTGATGCTGCGTCTGCTGTTGCTGCGGGGCTGCTGCTGCTGGGGCTTCCGCGTGTCCGCAGCATCTGCTGCTGAGCTTGCCAGTCTGATAGGAGGTGCTGCTGCTGCGTCTGCTGCGCCTGTTGCATGTGCTGTGGCTGCTGCACCATAGTTTGCTGCTGGTGGTGAAGGAGCTGCTGCTGCTTCTCTGCTGCTGCTGCTGCTGCTGCCTGGTGCTGCAGCAGTTTGCTACGGTAATCTAGCGCGTAGCTGAGGAGTTCCAAGAAGTCGGCAAGGTTGTCCAGAGCAAATCCCTCCCGCACTGCAAGGTCCACTTGCTGGTGTTGCTGCTGCTGCAGGGGAGCAGCAGCACGGTGCAGCAGCTCGAATATTAAGTTCGTGTGGGGCCGACGGGGACGAACGGACCTGCGGCTTTGAATTCCATCTTGTGGGGAGTCTGTCCCCACAAAGACAGGCAAGGAGAGTCTGCTTCTGCTGCTGCTGCTGCCGCTGCTGCTGCTGTTGTTGCTGTTGTGTCCTAGAGCTGCCGGGGAGGTAAATACCGGGAAAGTTGGAGCTTCGTGGCGCATGCGCCGGAGCAGCACCTCAAGGCGCAGCAAAGAAGAACAGAAGAGGGAGGGATAAAGAGGAGGGAGACAAAGAACAATGTTGCGTGTTAAAGCCCCACCACCAGCTTCTGAACGTGGTGTTGCTGTTGCTGTCTCGTCTCCAGCTGTTCCTGCGGCGGCTGCTGCTGCTGCTGGGGAGAGTGTCTCGATATCTTCTTGCTGCCAGTTGGAGTCTTCCCTCTTCATTATACCGTGAACAGTAGCAGCAGAAGCAGGCACACTCTGTTGATTGCATGCGAAGGCGTAGCTGCTGCTGGGTGCTGCTGCGACGCGAACTGATGCAGCAGCTACAGCAGGGGATGCTGCAGCTGCAGCAGGGGTTGAGTATGAGAGCGAGGAGAGGAAAGGAGGTGTCTCTCCCCTAACACGCAGCACACGGAGGTGTGCAGCAGCAAAAGTGTTGTTGACTTTTCTATGGAAGCTGTGGGCTGCTTGAACTGCTGCTGTTGCTGTTGCATCTTCCTGTTGCTGCTGCTGGTGCTGCAGCAGCCCTGTTGGCAGCAGCGCTTGCAAAGGGGGCCTTAAATCACACATTGGATTAAGACAGAAGGCACGAACAAAACAAGAAAAGGGTAGCAAAGGTGGTAAAGACAAGGGTTGCTCTAGCAGCTCCTGCAGCGGCATAACGTTAGGTAATATGTTACTGCCAAGACACCACTCCCCGCTGCTGCTGCTGTTGCTGCTGCTGCTGGCGAGGCATGCGCAGCAAGACTTGTTGGCCTCGTTCTTGCGCAGCAGGAAATTGGATGCAAAGGCAGAATATAATGGCGAGCAGCTGCAGCCCATGAGGTCACAGTAACTCAGCACGAAACGCCTGCAGCAGCAGGAGCAACAGCAGCAGCACCAACAGCAGCAGCACAAGGCACAAGAGTTACCTGACGACAATGCCTCTGCAAATGAGTAATCGCAGCAGCACCAAAAGCAGCAAAGAAGATACAACGAGCAGCAGCAGCAGCAGCAGCAAACGCGCCAAAACAACAAGCTGCAGCAACAGCAGCAGCTGCAGCAGAAGTTCTCACTGTTCGCTTAGGGGCAGCCGTTGGAAGAAAGGGGCGAGTGGCTGCAGGAGTAGTCTCTTATCGGACACAGTTTGCGGGGAGAAGTTTAAAACAAAGAGACACAGCACATGACGTCCTTGCAGCAGCATAACATCTTGCGGCTGCCGTTGTACCTGTTGCAGCAGCAGTTGATGCTGCTGTTGCTGCATGTGTTGCTGCGGCTGCTGTTGTTGCTGCTTCTGAGGCAGCAGCAGCAGCAGATCATCTAGTCTTTGGTTGTTTGCAGTAAAAACTTTCTTAGAAAGGAACCCTGCCTGTTCGAGCAGCAAATCGCGGTCTACTCTTGCAAAGGCGACCACTGGACCTTCTGCTCCCCTCTGCTGCTGCTGTTGCTGTTGCTGCTGCTGCTGTTGCTGCAGCAGCTCGTTGCCGCCGCTGCTGGTGCTGCAGGAGTCCCAATCCGAGTTGCTGCCATCGCTGCCACACACAGAGACAGCTGTGGGCATACTAGAAGGGTCGCTGGCACCGATAGGAGAGCTGCTGAAGCTGCTGCTGTTGCTGCTGCTGCTGCTGCTGCTCCTGCGGCGGCGGCGGCGGCTGCGACGAGCTCGCGACTGGGAAGAGGAAGCAAAAAAACTTAGAATGTTGTTGACACGTCTGCTGCTACTTGGTGCAGGAGCAGCAGCAGCAATTGGCGCTGCTGCTGCTGCAGCTGCTGTTTCCGAAGACCTGTGGGACTTCTTAGACCGGACTGCACCCTGCTGCTGCTGATGGTGCTTGTGGTGCTGTTGCAATTGTTGCTGCTGATGTTTGTGGCTGTGTCTATGGTGCTGTTGCTGCTGCTGTTGCTGCTGGTGATGCTGGTGCTGCTGCTGCTGGTGCTGGTTCTGGCTCGGATACTGCTGCTGTTGCTGCTGTTGCTGCTGCTGCTGCGGGGGTTTGCTGCTGCTCCTCTTGTTGCGTCTGCGCTGCTGTCGGGTGTATAGGCAGCTCAAGGGTTGGCCATTAGGGTGCAGCACTTCCAAGGGGATTAATGCCCCCCGCAGCAAACACTTTTCCCTCCTTCGAAGTTCTCTTAATAACTTATAACGAGTAGATAAAGACGATAAACGAGCTAAACACACAAAGACACAAACCCTAAACCCTAAGTTCTAAACTCTAAACCCGTAAGGTCACACCGTAAACAGAACAACGCTACAAGGAATACAACAACCCACAGCAATGTACTCAACCGCATGGTCTCTAATCCAGGGTTCAGGGTTTGCATTAGGGTTTAGGGTTTGCATTAGGGTTTACGGGTTGCACACCGGCTGATGCTCCGAGGGTTTGCAGGAATTCGGTCTCCTTTTCAGGGAGTTGGTTAATGCGCTCGAAGCCGTTGGGTCCAAGGAAACGTTCCAGAAGCTTTAGCTCTGCACAAAACCCTAAACCCTAGACCCTAATCCCTAGACGCCAAACCCCATACAACCCTCGAAAGCTCACAAACCCTCAACCGTAAACCCTCGCAGCACCTCTTTACTGGACCAGCGGACGTACTGCTGCACGGATAGGCGCTGTTTCCTTGGGTCTGCATGCACAACACATCACAGCTAAACCCTATACCCTAAACTTTATTGACACCATGAAGAAAGGCAGGAGGTTCGAGAGAGCCCTGTGAAGACTTCTTTCCTTGAGGGTTAAGGGTTTAGGATGCACACCTTCCCACTGCCGTCCGCTGCACGAAAAAGAAAACGCAAGGCCAAACTTCAAACCCTAAACCCTTAGCCTTTCGCTGCACTGTATTAACAGAGAGGACAATGCTACTAAACAACAACCCTCAATTTCCCGATAAGCGCAGCGGGATCTTGAGGCCTAAAGACATCTATGCCAATTCACGGCTTAGGGTTTAGGGTTTAGGAATTAGAGGTATGGCACTGCTCCTAGGGTTAGGGGTTTGTGAGAGTTTACAGCGCTCATTCGGATCAAAGAAATTCGGAACACCCATTCTGAAGACCATTCCCTCCAGTTCTCCAGCAACTGCAGACCACGCACGCAAAACTCTAAACCCTAAATCCTATTCTTTTACCAGCATCCGCGTACTACAGCTCTGATGAAGTACCGGATTGGTGTTTAGGCATTTCACATGTCGTCCAGGTCTAGGGTTTGTTTTCTAGCTGGAAAGCCCCAGCACATCCCAGCTTAAGTGCTAGGACAGGGCTTAGGATTTGCTACCTGTCACGAAGGAATCAGGGAGAAAGCAGAGAAGGTCCTGATACACCCATGCCGCTTTCTTGTACGACAGCAGAGGCAAGGGAGAGGCGGGCCCGCACGACAGCTGCACGCAAACCCTAAACCCTAAACCCTACATCTTTGGTCATTAGATCTTCACAGTCAAATCATCCAAAGCTGCAACAGGGCAAAACAGTAACCCGGAACCCTTAACTCTAAACCGTAAACCCTAAATCCTTGCTTGCCTGTAGCAAAGTGCCTCCAGGCGGCATTGCTGCGTGCTGCTTGCCCAGCGTCTTGAATAGCGAAGCCACGGACACTTGCCCATCTGCACAACCGAAGCCCCAAACCCTAAACTTGAGGGTGTAAGCGTATGAAAGCCCATTCGCCAGGCGATAAAGCTGGGTAAGCTGTCCCCACCGGAGGGAAACACTTCCCTCCATTTAATCTTCTTCCCCAAACCCTAAAACCTCAGCGTACTTAGCAAAGAAGGCACTAAAGACGCAACATGCTGGACTACAGGCACCAAACCGCTCCGAGACAAGAGGGCTGCCGTGGCGTCTGCCCGTTGCAAGGAGAGTTTCCTGAAAGCATGCAAACCCTAATCGCTAAACGCTAAACCCTCAAGCTTGATCATCGTGAATCGCTAATGTGGACCGGCGCCTGCTGAGGACGACCAAGAGAGAGGTTTAGGGTTTAGGGTTTGGTGTTTTGTGTTTTATGGTTTGGGGCGAACCCTGGATAAGAGTTGCAACAGGAGGAACAGAACCGTGACCTCCTACTACATGATGGACCTCCGCATGCGGGGCATGCACCCAACCCTAAACCCTCGCCTCCAACAGCAGAGGCCTCCGCTAGCAACAAAAAGTTAGGGCTTTCTGCCCACACACTCCGGCATAGCTGAAGAAACCACCGCACACAACCCAGCCATTAACCCTAAACGACACAGCAACAACTTTAGGATTGTTGAGTAAGTTAATCTTACTCAACAATGCTAAACCCTAAACCCTAAAGGCGAACACCAAAGTACACACTACAATACATCTTACTCAACAACCTAAACTCAACCCTAACAACTGGTGGAACAGATCGTACTCAAAAGTACAAAACCCTAAACCCTAAATCGCTTACCTTGACCAGGAATGGATTGGGGAAGAAACGGGCGGACTTTGCTAAACTCCAATATCCCGTCATGTTGTGCGACCCAGGCACTATAACCTGCGCACCCAAACCATAAACCCTAAACCCTAAACCCTAAAAGGCAAACCTACGGGCGAACCTCTGAGCCTAGACCTGGATGGGTTAAGGGTTTCAAGGCGCACCTGTCCTGTAATGATCTCCTCTGGGGAGTACGCAGATTGCCCGTCAAAGTCGCGGCGGTTTAACGCTGCTTCATTGGCGAGTAGTACTTCAGGGGCACTAGAGCTATCCAGCAGCTTTACCCCGTCAATCCCTGAACCACAGCCGCTAAACCCTAAGCCCTACACTATTGACACATGGTCTCTCTCTCTCTACAAAAGAAGTACTATGTCCCCAGGGAGTTACCCAGGACCACACAGACACACTGCTCGGTAATGCAACTAGAACAAGTAAGGGTTTAGGGTTTTGCGGACCGAATTTCCTAATCCAAGCGAGGACGTCCAATATGAAGCGGTTCCAGCTCGCCACCTTGCGGTAATTGAGCAGAGCTGTCTCTGCAGAATAAACCGCAAACCCTAAACTCTAAACCTTAAACGCAAACCCTTGCCGGTTGTCAATGGTCAGAAGCTGATCAACCAACCCAAACCCTAAATCCTAAACCCTTAACCCAGCAGGCTCACCCCCACGTTTAATTCCCCTGCTTTCGCCTCCATAGAAGAAGTTGGCCTTTCCCTCGGCATCCTGAGCACCCGATCTCAAACCCCTTAGCTCTAAACCCTAAATCCTTAGCTTCCGCAGGAGTCATACACCTCCAAGAAGCTCCTTAGGAACACGTCTGCGGCTCGTGCTCCATGGTATCTAGGGGGAGCTAACTACAGCGATGTATCAGGGTTTAGAGTTTAGGGTTTAGCTGCACCTCGTGGAGAAGCATCAGCGGCAGGTAGTGGCGGTGAGGGTGTGCAGCAGCGACCCGAGTTGAGACATCCACAACAACCCTCATACCTTCTCGGTGGCATTCCTAACGCCGCAAACCCTAAACCCTAAACCCTAAACCCTAACCCTAACCTCCAGGCCCCACTCTTGAAGTATAAGGCTGAAGCCGGTGTTTGGCCTCTCAGGGCTACCCATATTGCAGTGGTGAAGCTGTTGCTCTATCACGATTCAAAGGTTTAGGGTTTAGGGTTTTGGAGCGTACCTGCACCAATTCAAAAAACCCCGGAGTTCCACCCAGCAAAGCGCAAGGGGCGGAGCGGCACGGAGAAGCAAACGGGCTCGCGTCGGCGTTCTCGTAGGCAACATCCTCTGCATGCCACACACCCTAAACCCTAAACCATGAACCATGTGACCTGAATCCTAAATCTTGAAGGACCTCAAGGAAGGTATTAGGCACCCCAACGGATTTTTGTCAGCGGAGTCGCCATGTCTGGGGAGTGCAGGGTTAAGGGTTTAGGGTTTACCAAGGCGGGTGTAGAGAGGCATGCCGATGTCGCGTTCTTGAGCACCACTAATGCAAAGACAATTAATGCGAGAATCGCTGAAGGAGCGAGCGCTGCTGGCAACTCCTTCAAATGACCCGCGCTGGGTTAAGGCGCCTAAACCACAAACAGTAAACCCTAAATACTAAGCACTAAACCATCAACCCTAAACCCTAAACCCTAAACACTAAATGCGGATTTCCGAACTCCATTTCCCAGCAAACTCATCTCCTGCAAAGTGAGGTAACGCCCAACGACCCTTGAGCTTCTCGTCTCATCTACCCAACTTCTTTAGGATTTAGGGTTTAGGGTTTAGGGTTTGACCGGTCTCTTCGTGCCACTGGGCGTCGTGCTGATCAACAAGAATTTCGTGGGGCTGAAGCTCGTGGTACCCCTCAGGCAATACAATGACGCGTCCCTAAACCACAAAACCTAAACCCTAAACCCTACAGCCTAAACACTAGCCTCGGCAGTGTATTCTGTACCCCACACTCCCCGACACGCTCCGCCGCCCGCTGAACCCCAAACCCTTGACATCCAAATTCTTGATATCGAAGCCCTTGGCATTCAAACCCTAGACGTCAAATCGCCTGCGCGAATCTGGAGGCCAGGGTTTAGCACTTAGGGTTTCATTCTGTGAGAGTTTAGGGTTTTGTTCCCACCTGGAGAGGATAACACTCGTCTACAACGGCTCCAGGATGGAGCCTGTGCTGCTGCTGCCGGTGCCTCAAGGCTTGTGCTGCATCTGCTGCTGTGCGGCTCCCTTTGCCGCTGCTGCTGCATGCTGCTACACCACTTGCTGCTGCTGCTGCCTGCCGCCGTCCGGCGCTCTCAACAACGGACCTGCACGATTGCCAGCGTCAGTTATACCCTAAGCCCTAAACCACTGTGTACAACTGAGCAATCAGTGATTCGTTTACCCACGTGATAGAAGGAGGCCATTCTCATAGAACTCTCTAAGGATTAGGGTTTAGGGTTTACCAGGTGCCTTCTTGCTCGTTTGCCCTACAAATCCTCCAATCGTAAAAACCGCAGCGCGTGAAATATCCAAAGTCGACGCGGCCGAGCCACAGAGTGCTGCGTTTCTGCTGCGGTATTGCGGGCTTTGTGGGAGGGACTGCTGCTGCTGTTGCTGTTGGATCAGTAGTAGAAACAGCATCAGCAGCAGCAGCTGCTGCTGCTGATGCCGCAGCATGAGCAGCCGCTGGTGGTGCAGCAGCAACACCAGCAGCAAATACAGGTGTTCTATCTGCTGCACGGAAGCTGGCAGCTCTTCTAAGAAGAAGAATTTCTTCTTTTTGATTCTCCAGGTGTACCTGCAGCTGCTGCTGCTGCTCTCTGCTTTCTATTGGCTGCTCCCACTGCAGCGGATGGTAAGAGTACACCCCCGTCTTGCAGGAGCGGTTAAAAGAAGGAGCAACAAGAACTAAAAATATATCCTCTGGATAACCACATTTAGTGCTGCTGTTGCTGCTGCTGCTGTCGTCCACCTCGATCAATACTTCTATTACAAAACGTTCTCCCACAGCACGAATCACAGGATCCAGGGGACGACGTAATTGCCAATCATGCCTTCACACAAACCCTAAACCCTAAACGCTAAACCCTAAATCCCAGGCTCTGTGAGTCGTACATGCGGTGTTGCTGCTAGCATACCTTTCTTCTGCTGACAGTGTAAGCCTAGCCTCTAAGCCCTTAAACCCTAAACCCTAAACCCTAAGCCCATGCACCTGTCGTAAAAGGCATTGAGGAGTTTGACTGCTTCCATGCGAACTGCTTCCTCGCTGCTGCCGAGCAAGGAGACCAGCAGCTGCTCCAGCCTCGCGCTGCTACTGCTGTTGCTGCTGCTGTTGCAGCAACACGAAGCCCCGCAGCAGCAACTGCTGCTGCTGCTGCTATCCAAAGAGGCTTCAGGAAGAAATGCGCTGTGCCACACGTCCCCCGCCAAGTCCGTCAAAGTGTCCTGCTCCACAAACTCTAAACCCTAAACCCTAAACCCTAGAGAATCTCCAGGCGTTCCCGAATCCTAATTGCGCAGCCGTAAATCTTTATGAGGGACTCTTAGAGGTTTGCGGGTTCCCTTTCTCGTAAAGCTACTGCTGGGGGTCGGAGCCACCCTCTAGGGTTTAGCGTTTAGGGTTTAGGGTTTACTTACCTTGACAGCTTCTCGCGTGGATGAGGTAAGAAGAGCAGTAAACCACCGCAACTTGTTGGAACAAAAGAAAGGAGTTAAACCGCACGCATTCCAAACCCTCAAGCCGTGCTGTCCGCGCCGCCTCGCCATCTGCACCCAAACCCTAAACCCTAAACCCTTATGTTTCCAAACAACAACAGAACACCCGCACGCAAGAACCAGCACTACGGCAGCACGCAAGGCTACTATGTTACTCAACACAGGGTTTAGGGTTTAGGTCTAGGGTGCCGGGTCTACTACGGTTTAGGGTTTAGGGTTTCGTGTTTGACCTGTCGGCTGCTCAACATAAAGGAAGGAACCTGAAAAACATTGGGTACTTCCTCCAGACACCGCAGCAGCACCTGCTGCTGTTGTTGCTGTTGTTGCTGCTGCTGCTTCTGCAGCAAGGACTCTGAACCATCTAGAATAAGGGATGCTAAGAGGGCCAACAGGTAAGCATCGAAGCGGCCGCGCGATCGGCAGCAAAAGCGCAGCAAATCAGAGTCTATCCGCAACTCCAGACACCCCCGCTGCTGCTGCTGCTGCTGCTGTTGGTGATGCTGTTGCTGGTGGTGGTGGTCAGATGAAGCCTTGTTTTTCTTGTGCTTTCCCCGGGGAGAGAGAGCTGGTGACTGCGTGACTGTTGCTTCCGTTGCTTCTTCTGCTGCTGGTGCTGCTGCAGATGCTTCTGCTGCTGCTGTCGGTGCTGCATCAGCAGCAGCTTCTGCTTCTGCAGATTCAGACACAACGCGAATTAGGTCAGGAGGCAGCGAGAAGCTGTTCTGTGCTGCAGACGAGAAACCCTGCTGCTGCTGTTGTTGCTGCTGCTGCCAGCAGCGCGGCTCTATAAGAAGTACGATGTCGAAGGGCAGCAGCTTTTCCGGTGGTGCAGCAGCACCACCAGTTGCTGCTGTTGCTGTCGTTGTTGCTGCTGCTGCTGAGCTAGACGACCCATTGCCTTGTAGGGTCTCTAGCAGAGATTCTGAACCCCCAAACAAAGCCTAAACCCTAAACCCTAAACCCTAAACCCCAGCAAGCACTCTCAAGCTCCAACCGTGTATTCTACTCGCTGCAGTGTTCATGCTAATACAGAAGTCTAGGGTTTACGGTTAAGGGTTTAGGGTTTGCTAGGGTTTAGGACTTGACTAACCACTACTTCCACCTGGAGGCCGAACCCGCTGCAGCAAACAGCAGAGCGAAGTTGTTTCGAACTCGTTTGTTAGCAAGGTGCTGCTGCTGCTGCTGCTACTACTACTGCCGCTGTTGCTGTTGCTATTGCTGCTACTGCTTTCTGCTGGCCTTGCTGCTGCTGCTTCAGTTGCTGCTGCAGCGGAAGGGTCTGGAGTTACACTAATAGCAAAATGCTGCGGCTGCTCTTGCTCCTGCTGCTGCTGCTGCTGTTGGTGCGACTGCAGTAGCAGTTGCTGCTGCCGTTTAGTTAGCAGTTGCCCCAGACACTGGTGGGCTTTGAGCAGCAGTGCCGTTAGGTTACTGCCTGCTGCTGCAGCTGTTGCTGCTGCTGCTGCTGTTTGCTCCACCTCGTGTCCTGTTATTGCTGCTGCTGCTGCTGGTCGCTGGGAGCTGCACTGCATCAGCAGCAGCAAAACCTCCTGTTGCAGCGGCTGCAGTAGTTCCTCCTGCTGCTGCTCCAGTAGGTGATGTTGACTGGGCAGGTAAGAAGAAGCAAATAACCTCGCTGAAGGCAGCAGCAGCAGCAGCAGCAGCAGTAGCAGCAACAGCAGTAGCAGCAACAGCCACGGTAGAAGCAATACCAGCAACAGTAGCAACAGCGGCACAAATAAGAACAGCAAACCCATAGGGGCCGCAGCAATCATGTCCACGGCAGACACAGCAGCAGCAACAACAAAAATAGAAGAGCAGCAGCACTAGGTGCAGCAGCAACTGCAGCACCAACCACTGCAGCAGCAACAGCAGCGACAGCAGCAACAGCAGCAGCTGTTGGTATTTAGAGTAAACTTACGTTCTCTTTCAAGCTGCAGCAGCAGCCGCAGCAGCTGTTCAGACACCCGGATCTTTAAGGCTGCTGCCGCGTCTGCTGCTGCGTCTTGTTCAGGAGGTTGACGCAGCTGCTGCTGCAGCTGCTGCTGCAGTTGCTGCTGCAGCAGCGGCTCATCAGGCCAGGCGCTTCTCTCCATCTTGCAGCACAGCAGCTGCTGCTGCTGCAGCAACGCGCCCAGGGGACAGAACCACGCGGTCTGTTTGCGGCTGTTGCTGTTGCTGCTGCTGTTGCTGCTGCTGCTGCTGTTGCTGCTGCTGTTGCTGCTGCTGCTGCTGCCGCAGTTGCTGTGTTTTAGCGGAAAGTAAAGGAGTGTCTCGGGAGACAGTTATTTCATGCTGCTGCTGTGGTTGCTGGTGTCGTTCCTACTGCCCTTGCCACTGCTGCCGCTGCTGCTGCTGCTGCTGCTGCTGTTCCTGCTGCTACTCCTGCTGCTGCTGCTAGGAATTAACACCCTTTTAAAGCCACAGTTTGTCTCCAGACACTCAATTTGCTTAAGAACCCCTCGCCTTCCATCTCCTCTATCGCCACATGCAGCTGTCGGCAGCTGCTGCTGCAGCGGCGGCTGCGGCTGCGGCTGCTGCTGCTGCTGCTGCTGCTGCTGCGGGCTGCTGCCGACAGGCGGCAGCGAGTAGGAAGGACTTTCCTGCCTGCGTAGACCTACAACTTACTTTTTATGCTTTTTTGCTGCTAAATCGTAAACGGTAGACACTAGCTGCTGCTTCCTGTGGCTGCTGCAACTGGCACGGGAACCCGTGCAGATGCGGGTGTTTGTCTTCAGAGTTTAGGGTTTAGGGTTTAGAGTCTAGGGTTGACGAGGCAGAGGGTAGGACTTTGGGGGTTTGTACTTATAGCGTCTTTCCCTGCAGTTAATGCAGCTGTTGCTGCTCCTGCTGCTGCTGCTGCTGCTGCAGCTGAGCGCATGCAGCGGGAAGCATCTATGCGGACGCACTTTGGGATTCGCTGGTGTTCCTCTCATTGGTAGCAGCAGCAGCAGCCGTTGCCGCAGCAACACCAGCAACAGCAGCTGCTACTGTAGGAACTGTGATAGGAGCAGCAACAGGTATTTGCCGAAGCCTGTGGGCAGCCAGTCCCACCCCACCTCCCCCACAGCAGTAGCAGCAGCAGCATCCGCAGATGCTGCTCCTGCTGCTGCTGTAGCAGCAGCAGCAGAGAGAGAGAAGCCGCTTCTGCGTGTGGGGAGCCGTTGGTCTCCCCTAGCACTAGCGCAGGCGAAAGAAGTTCTGCGGCTTGTCGTCTTTGCTGCAGCAGATCGTTTTCCTGCTGCTGTTGCTGCCTTTCTAGAGGAGGACGAGCAACAGCAGCAGCTGCAGCAGCAACAGCAGGAGGAGCTTCTGCTGCGGCGGGAAAAGCTAGGGGAGCAGTGTAGCGAGCTACTTAAAGGAACAGCAGCAGGAGAGCTGCCTGCGGCTGCTGCTGCTGCGCTGCAGCAGCGGCTGCGGTATGGGGAGGTTGAGCTTGTGCCGCACCAAACAGCAGCAGACAAACAGCTGCAGCAGCAGCTGCTGCAGCTGGGAGGAAAGGGTTTGTTTAGTAAGGAATTAGATGATGCACTGCAGCAGCAGCAAATACACTTTGCTGTTCATTCCCTTAAAGATGTTAACGTGCTGCTGCCTAGCAGCATGACTCTTGCTGCGCTGCTGCCGCGGGAGGATCCAAGAGATGTGCTTCTCTTTGCAGCAAAACAGCAGCAAACTATTCAACCTCTCTTAGAAACTATTACAGCAGCAGCAGGAGCCGCAAATGCTGCTGCTGCTGCTGCTGCTGCGGCAGCGAATGCTGACGCAGGGGGAAACAGCATCACAGTCACCGAAACCAACTTCAGTAGCAGCAGCAACAACAACAGCAGCGGCAACAACAGCAGCAGTTGCAGCAGCAGCAGCAGAGATGAAATATTGATTGGCACTTCTTCTCTCCGTAGACAAGCCTTGATGCTGTACCTCGCTGGCAGCAGCCATGCAACAGCAGCAGCAGCAGCAGGTCCAGCAAAAGAAGCAGCAGCAGCAGCAGCAAGAGTACGTTGCGTGCTGCTGCGAGGCAACGTACAGACGCGGCTTCGGAAGCTGCGGGAGGGGGTAGCGCATGCAACACTTCTTGCTGCAGCAGGTCTGCGGCGGCTGTCTCTGCTGCAGCAGCACCCTACGTCAGCAGCTGCAGCAGGACTGGAGATACTCCGCCTTGCTGCTCCTTATGGAGACACGGTTGCTGTCCCTCTTCCTGAGGTCTGCTGCACCCCAGCTGCAGCACAAGGAATTATTGCTGCTCAGTGCCTCTCGCAAGACACGAGCACGCTGCAGCTGCTCCTGCCAATCAACGACTCTGCAGCAGCAACAGCAGCAGCAGCAGAACGCGCCTTCCTGCAGAAGCTCGATGGCAGCTGCAAGACTCCCCTTGGTGCCATTGCTATGCTGCGTAACCACCAGCAGCAGCAGCAGCAGCAGCAGAACCTAGAATTCAAGGGTTTTGTGGGGACACCTGACGGGTGCCGTATGTTTCACGTTGCTGCTGCTGCAGCTGTACGTACACCGCAAGAAGCAGCAGAAGTAGGAGCAGCAGCAGCGAATAAAATTAAAGCAGCAGCAGGCAGCAAATTCCTATCCGATATTATCAGCCAAGTGCAACAGGGTTGGGGCTCCCTCAAACCCTAGAAATAAACGAGAAAAGGGTTCTGCATGCATGCATGTATGCATGCATGCATGTATATATATGTATGCATGCGTGCATGCGTGCACCTGCTGCGCCCTGCTACCGCCTATCAGCGAAGCCCAAGACAAGCCGCACGGTCTCCTGGTGCAGCAGCAGGGGCGCTGCTGCTGCTGCTGCTGCTGCTATTGCATGCCGCAAACCTTCTACTGCGGCGAACTAACGGGGCTGCACAGGCGTTGTTGCATACAGTCCCGTGTTAACGTGCCGGCCGCTGCTGCTGCATGCAAGCAGCAACACAGCGAGACGACGCCCTGTCTATACTGCATGCATGCACGCATGCACGCATGCACGCATGCACGCATGCACGCAACAAAAAAACCTGCCTCGAGTCCATGCATGCAGGCGGCGCAGCAGACACTACTACACTGCCTAAATAAATGTGTCCCTGCATGCATGCAAGCAACTGCTTGCATGCATGCATGCATACAAACGGCCGCATGCATGCATGCATGCATGCATGCATGCATGCAGGAGGAGATCTCCTCTTAAGCAAATAGCCTGTGGGGCGGGCCACCAGAGGAGAGAGTGACGGGGTTTGTAGGTGACCACGTGGGCAGCAAGAAGGGTGGAGTTGACAGCTGCTGCTGCTGCTGTTGCTGCTGCTGCTGCGGAGAGGGCGCATGCAGCCTGCAGCGCTGCTGCTGCCGCTGCAGCTGCGTCAGTGCCGAGTATATTGCTGATGTTACCCACAGCGCCTCCGATATTGACACTGTAAACAAACAAACAAAATAATAATAATTAATTATTATATATTTTATGATTATATACTTAATAATTTTTATATATTTAAATCCAACAGCAGCAGCAGCAGAAAAAAGCACAAGAACGCTAAGCTACACATACACCTTACACACAACAGCTTGTCCCCCAATGCAGCAATGCAATGCATGTAGCTACCCAGCCGTCGGTAGCTAGCTAGCTAGCTACCGACCTACCTAGCTAGCTACCTAGCTAGCTAGCTGGCCTCCGCCCTCCGCACTTATATGTGGGGCTAGCTGGATGGCTGCGTGACTGGCTAGCTAATCAGCTAGTTCGCTGTATCTACCATTTACGTGGCCGTTTGTCTGCACGGCTAGCAAGCTAACCAGCCAAATACCCTGAGTAGCTAGCTAGCTAACTATTTAGCTAGCTAGCTAGCTAGCTAGCTAATGTTTGCTAGTTTGCCTTACCCATGGCACATCCTTCGAAGAGTTGTACGTCGATGACATATCGACAACTTCCGACTTTAAAAAGTTGAACAGCCAAGATGATATCCTCCGTGTCGCATGCAAACTCTGCACCGCTGCAGCTGCTGCTGCTGCTGCTGCTGTTGTTGTTGCTGTTGTTGCTGTTGCTACTGCTGCTGTTCGAGGCAGCCTGCTGCTGCGAAGAGTCCTGCTGAGCCGAACGCAGCGGGCGGCAACGGAGTTTATATTGAGAGACTAAATGCCACTCATAGTCGCAGGCTTTGAGGGTGTTAAGGATCTGCAGCAGACACCAAACCCTAACCCTAAACCCTAAACCCTAATACCTCCGGGCAGAAGTCCTCTCTCCTGTACACTGCATGTGGGGAGATATCGAGCTTCCGCAAAGATTGGTCTGCAGCTGTAGCTAGCAAAGATTCAGCAGCAACCGCATGTACACGACTGCTGCTTTGCGGTTACGGTTTAGGGTTTAGGGTTTAGGGTTTAGGGTTTAGGGTTTACAGCTGTGATAAGGATAGGCGCATCAAAAGCCGCCTCTATTCCTAACTTCCACCGCGCAGAAGCCCAAGACCCTCCACCACTAGGGGAGCGGCACTCAGGGGACGACTCAGCTGCTGTAGCTGCTGCTGGTGCTGGCACCCCCAACCTGCCGCTGCTGCAGCCGCTGCAGCTGCTGCTGGTGGTGCCAGGCACGTGACCCGCCAGCTGCTGCTGCAACGACATCAAAGATGCTGCTGCTGCACATGAAGACGCTCTCCCGCAGCAGCGGAGGCTCAGACGCCGCAGCACACTGGGAGGGAAGGTGGGAGGTTCCTCCGGCACCACTCCTGCACACAAACCCCAAACCCTAAACCCTAGACCCTAAACCCTAGAGAGCCCATCCAGGATACAATTGGTGCGGGTGTTCTGCTGGGAAGATTCTATGGAGAGACCGCAGCACAGTGTCTCGCGTGGCGCATTTGCATTGAATAGTTTATTCAAGACTGATGAGATAGGGTTTAGGGTTTATTTAGTGTTTAGGGTTTATTTAGTGTTTAGGGTTTACGACTAACCTGAAAGAGCAATCTGTTTCCTTCTACGATCGGAAAGAAGCTGATAGGCAACCGCCTCTCTACTCCTTGGAAACCCCACGAGTCCTCGTAAGAAGATAGAGGGGTCACTTACATCATAGCCCAACTGCACACAAATCCCTAAACCCTAAACCCTAAACCCTAAATCCATAGTTTTCGTTATTGTTTCTTCTATATGTCTAATTACGTCTACGCGCGGGTCCTCTAAATATGACTATCAAACGTCTTGAGGGTTTAGGGTTTAGGGTATATATAATTAGGGTTTAGGGTTTAGGGTATATATATTGAGTGTTTATTAGGGTTTAGTGTTATATATGGGTAAATGTTTTTAGGGTTTAGGGTTTATGGTATATTGAGGTATATTGTATGTATATATACCTTGGCCATCTGATTAAGTACAAGTGCATCTGGTGGTCCTCCTGATAAATTGGAGGGTTTAAGATTTCTTAGATAAGAAGGAAGTCTTTCCTCAAACCATGGATGTTTTTTTATATCTTTTAATTGTATACGTTTGCTTGGATCAACAACTAACATTTGTAATAATAAACTACGACTACCAGAACTTAAATGACCAGGTAATGTAAAATTGCCTGTATACAAACCCTAAACCCTAAACCCTAAACCCTAAACCCTAAACCCTAAACCCTAAACCCTAAACCCTAAACAACCCTGAACAATCAAGAAGGATCATTAACCAACACCCCATAAATTCAACACTCATGTACATTCATGTTAATACAAACCCTCAACAAGAAATAATAATGTATAAACCCTCAGCTGGTTATCTATCATAAACCCTAAACCCTCAATAAGACACACTAAACAACACATAATTCATACCCAATTAAATACCCTCAGAGTGTACACCACGCTCCATCTGTTTGGTGCTCGCACGGTTTAGTGTTTAGGGTTTAGGGTTTAGGGTTTACCGTGCTTAATTTTCTTGAACAAATTCGGTACGTGCTCGTCATCAAAGGGAAGAGACCCGCAGAGGAGAGCGTATAAGATCACCCCGAAGGACCACACGTCCACCTGCAAAAACCCCAAACCCTAAACCCTAAACCCTAAACCCTAAACCCTCGATAGCTCCCCAACCCGCAGTCCACCAGTTTACGTGACCTCTTATCTCCACAGATTAACAACCCTCAGTCTAATGCTTAGGGTTGGTTTAGTGACAAGGAAATATGGCTTCTTGTTTCAAGTGTGAGTCTAGGGTTTAGGGTTTAGGGTTTAGGGTTTAGGGTTTAGGGTTTCTCACCTCGGGGCCCGCATATGCCTTTCCAGAGACAACTTCAGGAGAAGCATAATTTGGTGAGCCGCAAGATGTCTTCAAAAACTCCCCATCCCTATACAAACACCCAAACCCTAAACCCTAAACCCTAAACCCTAATACGGCCTAAACCCTAATAAGCCCTAGACCTTGTAGAATAAACCCTAGACCCTAAGTAACCCTAGACAATAATAAACCCTAGACCAGACCAATGAATACACCATACATATACCCAAGGTCTTGCCGCGCCCGCCTCTCGCCATTGTTGACTAGGGTTTAGGGTCTAGGGTTTAGGGTTTAGGGTTTAGCTTTACCTCATGAAGTTCGAGAGGCCGAAGTCCCCAACCTTTACATTGAGGTTTTCATCTAATAAGACATTCTCTGGCTTCAAGTCTCGATGGCAAATCTGCAAAACACGCAAACCCTAAACCCTAAACCCTAAACCCTAGCATTCACCTTGGGAAAGTTGTGGTACCATGGCAACTACAGCCCAGTGTTGTGGCTAATGCTCAACACTAAACCCTAAACCCTGATCAAAGCCTTGCAGTGACGAGTGTCTGGGAACTGTAAACAGCACTAGGGTTTAGGGTTTAGGGTTTAGGGTTTAGGGTTTACGAGGTGCTCATGGCAGTGTTCTACAGCAGAGACAATCTGCTGAAAGAAGCGGCGGGCCTCCGACTCGGAGAGCCTTGCTTTCTGTATTATGTGGTCAAACAACTCCCCGCCTATCACACAAACCCTAAACCCTAAACCCTAAACCCTAAACCCTAAACCCTAAACCCTAAACCCTAATGTGTATGTCCCCCAAGCTGCTCAAATGCATCATCTGCCTCCCTAAAACCTCTGACCCCTTCCCCACCCTGCATTCCCCTCCCCCCCAAAACCCCTAAACCCTAAACCCTAAACCCTAAACCCTAAACCCTAAACCCTAAACCCTTTACCTGCGACATATTCCATGATGACAAAAATATCTGTAGGTGTATCAACAAGTTCATATAATCTTGTTATATGCGGATGATTAAGACCATCAAGAATAGATATTTCTCTTTTTATTTTCTCTAACATTTGCATTGCTTGCATCTTACTCTTATTTAATACTTTTACTGCTACTTTCTGTCCTGTTGTCTCATGTACAGCCACTGTATACACATATAAATATACATATATATATATATATATATATTATA